AGGTAAGCTTAATAAATCTCTCAAGCCACACATAAATAAGACACACTGAAAAGTAATAAATATTACAAAATACTTCAGATTTAACTTTACTCTTTCATTTAACTACGGATTCCTCATTATGCATATACAGTTTAATATATGTAAAAATTTTTAAATTTTTAGTTGTTTGTAAAATCTGACACATTATATTTTAATATTAAAAAAAATTTAGCCCAAACATTTAAAAAATTTATAGACAGAAAATCTTCAGTTATTTATAAGAATTTATAAAAATTCTTATACTTTTTCGTAACTAAAATATCTAATTTTACTATATTTTCCTTATTTGAGTAAGGTACTTGATAATATACATTTTTTAAATTGCTAACTTTATTTGCAAATTATAATTTAAGCTTTAGAAAAGAAAGCAATAGCAAGCGCGGTTAAATTTTTAATTTGCGAAGCTGAATAGAATTGTAAGCCAGTTAAAGCTTTCACAAAATCATGAAATGTAATTTGGAATCTCGACGAATTAAAAACTTCTTATTATGAAATAATAATCGCTGTAAGATTTAATATCCATCTACCATTATTATTTAACGATTCTTCTTTTAAAATTATATGATGCAACAAATACTGCCTTAACGTGCAAATAAATATGGTCAAAAAAGAATTTTATTTTTAAAAAAGAGCTCTTGTATGTATAAATTGCATCTGCCAAATATTTTATATTCTATTTAATTTTATAAATCAAATACAATAAACAATTTTTAATTAAAATTAATAGATTTCATGATTTTGCAGATAAACACTGAAAAATTAAACGACCAAAGTAAAAACACATATTATATTAATTTATCATTAATTAAAAGCAAATTCATCATTAATAAATACATATCCGCAAGCTGCAAATAACAATATGCGTAAGTGTTAAGTGCGTCAAATGTTAACAAGTTATGCATGTTTATAAGCTCAAGAATTTTTTAAAAACCAGCATAAATAATTACGAAAACTAATAATAATATGTTTTTACTAACAATCTTTTATGCCGTGACGTGGGTAAAAGAATGGTCTGCATCCACAGGACTTCTGTATGAAATTAATCTTACAATTGACAATACAATCACTGTAAGTATACATCGTAATACTAGACAATAACTTTCCCTCATCTGAGAAAATGCAGTTACGTTTATTCCTGGGGAAATTCTCGATTCCTGGATTACTGATAAAGAGCGTTCCAACTACGTTCAGAAAGGTTTCAGAAAGAGGTACTGCAAGTACCTCCGTGACACCACCACTGGTCATATCTGGATAATCAGTAGGATTAAACACAACTACCTAAAAACTCAAAGAATGTTAGTTTTATTAAACTTTTCTCTTTTTTGCCTCTTTCTCATATACACACACACACGCGCGCGCGCGCATGCACGCACGCACACAACTTCTTTAAATTTAATTAAATTAATAAAAACAAATAAACTATTTGCACATAATAATTAATTAACGCTGAAGATGTTTTCAAAAAATATATATCATTCTTTTTTTTATAAATAAACTGTTTTATAAAGAAATATAATTAATAAAATAGATAATTAAAGAAGTTTATATCAAAATAGTAAATTTGAAAAAGCATGTTAATGATGATTTTTATATAGCATTTAATAATGAAATATATAAGAATATCTAATTTCTTATGTAATATTTGTTTTGATATTATTTATTTTGGTTAGTCAAATTGCATTAACAACTGGATATTCAATACGAATATAATTTATAAAATATACGCTGTTGATCCAAACATATAATATGCGATGTATTCTTTTTTTACTTGATTCGAGTTCATTCGACTCATGGTTTTTTAGCATTGCATGTAATACATGTTTTTTTATGTTGCATTGCAAAAAGAGACATCGTAATTTGTGTAATGCGCTGGTCTGTTTCCACAAGTTAATTACGACGTGGCTAACATTTACCTGAAATACCATATTCCAACTATGCTCTATACGTGTGTTTTGTGTGTGTGTGTGTGTGTGTGTGTGTGTGTGTGTGTGTGTGTGTGTGTGCGCGTGCGTGCGTGCGTGCGTGCGAGCGCCCGCGCGTGTGTGTTATATCTACTATATTTTTATAAATCAAGCATGTTTTATCAAAGTACAGAAATTTCCGATGTTTCCCGATGTTTCATCAAAATACAGGAATAAAACTGAATCACACACATATCAAATAATTCTTCTTAATAAATCAATTTATTTATTTATATAAAAAAACAGCTGATTTTTATTATTTTAAGGTAGAGACTTTGAACATTTTCTAATAAAATTTTCATTATTAAGATGTTTATTCAATAGATATATATATTTTAGAGAAATCCCTTTATATAAATTTTTTATAAATTTTGGAGTTTATTTTAATTTTAAAATATTAAATATAACAAACTAGCAATTAAAAAGTCAAGCATTTGCTATGATAAATATAAATATATTTGTATATAAGATAATTCTATTAAACTATATGTATATATTACAGTAATTAAATAACAATTAATAAATTAACAATTATATGATTTATTTTATAAAGTAAGACGTACTTTCAACATACAAATGTTTGGATCTTTTTATATAAAAACTGTCTAATATCAATTGGAAATTAATAACAAATAATTCTTTATAACTTTTTCAATATATATAAATATATTATAATTATTTTTATTGTACGTAATGAATAAATTTCTTTAAGAAGTTTGATTAATCTTGCAATGCATCTAAAAGTATACGATAAAAATATCTCAACAAAAGAACAGAATCTTCCAGCACGTTTTTATCGAACGCGAGTTCTCTGTAAGTGCTAGTTGCTACAGCCTAAAGTACACACTACACTGCAAATATGGCGAAGTGAAGAAAAGGCGCGATTATATCGCACCGCTAATGACTTTCGCAAGCTTTTTATCACCGTGCACTATGCGCGAATGAAGCACAGGTGGCTTGTAATGGCACGGTAAGCGTGGAAAAAGTTCACAGCATGAGGCAGCTACCGATTATCTTGTCGCGACAATAGATTTGATATGTGAACACAATATAGTTGAAATACATTATACGTGAAATTGTATTTTTTAAGTAATTTTAATAATTATTGTAGCTTGCATTAATACTTAGAAAATAATTAAGAAATCAGTTTACCACAAAACAAGATTGGAAGATTTACGTTTATACTATAAATAATATTTAAGGTAAATTCTTTATGTTTTGTTCTCTTAATATTTTTCATTGGTGTTTTTTTATATAAAGTTTCATGAAAAATTTTAAATTTCTTTATTTTTATATTTTAATTTTATACTTTTTTCCTTAATTTATAAATTAAATCATTAATTAAAATTTTAATAACTGTAATAAGAATAATTTTGCTCTTTGTGTTTATTTTCAAAAATTAATAAATAAAAAAACAACAATCTATTATTTTATAATAAATGTAATAATAATAACACACAATTTTGCTTGATGTATTAAAAACTAATAAACTAGTCAACATTTATCACCAATAATAACCAACATGATATAACTTCTTAATTGTCTGTATTTTAAATACATTTGAAATGTAGATACATATTTCATGATACTTCGCACTATATAGAATCGAGCGTTAACGCTACTTTAGCATCATAAAGCATTGCAAGAATAAATCTTCATTTCGCTCGATTAGCCCCTTTTCATATTCAGCACTCGTGGTAACAACTCGTTACGAGTCGAATATGACCCGTTTTCGCGAGACGGAGATATTTCCAGGCAATTCTCATGCAAGACGTTTTCTAAATTATATGTTAGATTAGAAATTTACGTACCAACAAGTAAATACCGCGGCGTTTCCTTTATTTATAAAATAATAACGTTCATCAAAAGTATTAATAATTTTTTGCAAATATCCGGCGTAATTTTACAATTATTGACGCATCTGAAGTAATTTATTCTATATAGTTGCTCTTGATATAACAAAGTCTCAAAGAATTAAATTAAGTTATTATGATTTAATTGAGATTGTTAATGATTTCCATAAAATCCTCTTAATTACGTAATTTCTTTTTTATAACAATTTTAAATAACAAAAGTTCTTTATATTCATTCAAACTTTTATCATTACCTTAATAATCAAGACACACTGACGAAGTTAAGCGAAACATTCTAGGAACACTCTATGTAATTATGTATTATCAAGTTTCTCAGAATCTAGGTTAAACAATGCTGTTTTTTGGTTGATTAAAAAAAAGAAGTATTTTCTAGATTTTAATTTTGCATGAACGATAAATAGTTTTTGATGGCAGATTTAATTTTAGCTCCGAAATGTAAGGTGTTCTCAAGAACGTGGAATATTAGACAGCACTGTTTTGCTTTCTCAATTTATTAAAGTAACGTAATGTCGTTTCCACTTGCCTTCCAACCCTTAATGGGCAATATTGAATAGAAATAGTCATCTAAAAGTGGATCCATAACAACTGTTAGACCGCGTTCTATTCCGAGATCCCATACTTGCTCCGGCTTACTTAGCTCAGTCACATCGTTCTGTCTGTTAAAATGTAATTACCATTCATTAATTTTTTAAAAACTATAATGACATTATATTTAACATTAACATTATATTTAGCATTATATTTCTAAACTAAAAAATCAATATTCTTTATAATGTTTTAAACTGATTTACATTTAACATTATCCGGTGTATCATTATAGATTATTGTGATAATTATCAAAAATTATAATCAAAATATGTAAACTATTTTTTCGCATAAATTATATAAAGTAATATTGATACACTGATATTAATTTTTAATTAAAATATGGAGCTAATTTACTATCAAACATGTATAATATTTGTATTTCTTGATGCATTAATAGATTAGTAAAACATAATTTGTATAAATGGAATACCGTTACGTATGCTTTAAAACTGAACATTGTAAATGTCAAGTTAATATAAAAGATAATTCTTTCAATATCAAAACATAATAATCAATTTATTAATTATTGAAAATTATATATAATGTAGTATATTGCCAAAAGTATATACTTTATGAATATAAATAGATAAAGAACTTGCGTTTTATTAATTTAAATAAGTTTTTCTATGATTAAAAATTGATTTCTAACATAATTTAAACCTGTTAAAAAAACTTATTTACATATTAATAATACAATAAAAAAATATTCATGAATTATTTTATAGGTATGAAAAATTGCTTTTTCAAATTGCAGTAGTTAATCTTTGTCGCGCAGCATATACAAAAGGTCAAAGCAAATAGTATTTTTCTGCGACATAATTAATACACTGCGATCTAATCAACAAATATGATTTAATGACAACTTCTAATCAATATCATTATGAAAATACGTTTTGAAAGCACGGGATGCTTACTCGGGAATGTCGTCGCTTTCACGCACGTAATTGAAGGTGCAACAATATCCGTCCGGCGTCTTGCGAAAGTTAAAAAGTGTCGAACAATTTGTGTACTTTCCATGCAGCTTACATTTCAATAGCATCATCGAACATTGCGGAGTCAGCTGGAAAATGCAAATACGCGACGTATTGTCGTAAATTGCTACAATTTTCTAAGCGATAACAACGGAGGTTTAACATGCAAAATATTGTGCAAATAATATTTTAATTAATCTTCTAAGGAAACTTTATCTTTTTTTAAAGTATGTATATCGCCAAAAAAATAAAGTAACGTGCCTGCCTATAAATGATTTCTGTTTTGTAGAATTATCAAAGAACTGAAAGTTAGGGAGATAAATTTAAGTAGGGAGAATTCATAAAAAAATAGTAACGGAATTATGAAAAGTTTTTGCATTTAAAATTAGAACTTAAATTTAAACTTCCATTATTACACTAAACAATAAAAATTAAACGATTTACCATTATAGTTATCTAATTATTGCATAATTAAAAGGATTTTATACGTATATCAACATATAAATATCTATATAAAAAAAAGTCTAATAAAAGTGTGTAAGTAAAACTCTAGTGTACCATATATTTGAAATATGATGTTGATTGAATTTGCATACGTACAGTTTTCATTATTTCAGTGACATCATAAGTCCCGTTATAATAAGTTGTTAAAAGTTTATCTAATTCCACATCATGATTATTATCCGTCAAACCAAGCGTGTCAAAATTATAAATGTAGAGATTGCCCAGCCGCATTATTAAGATGAGAATTTCATCAACTGTCTGATTTGTGATATTTGTTTTAGAACTGGTTTTAAGAAAAATGTAGTAAATATTTCAATAAAAGCCATCATATATAATATATATTTCTCAAGAACATCTTTAATATACAGTAGAGCAAAAAAGATGGGCAACTTTCTTTTGATCACATAATGTTGTCCATATTGTTCAACTACATAATAGATTTTATATATTTTTATGATACGTTATAGTATATGCATTATATACTGATATTATATTAAAAATATTTTAAAACAATGTTTATAATATAAAGTTCAACAAACTGGTCTCTATAATGAGAAAAGTGATATGTTCAAAGTTAATAATTAATTTTTTACTCTGTGTGATGGACAAATTGATTGACGATATACCGCACAGATGTAAAGCTTTTAAAACTAGCAATGGTTCGACTAAAATAAATATTAATAATGTACTTTTATATTATAATTACTTTTTCATTGATTTAATTCTCTGTATAAATAAGGCATTTATGTCTAGGCATAAATAAGAAAATTAGTAAAGTATAGAATTTTCAAAAAAACAATTTTTATTATATAATAATTTCTTTTATTGTCTTTCACAATTAAATCTTTTTAGTGTATGTAAATTGTATATTTTCATTTTTAATAATAACATTTAAAAACAGCATGAATACCTTTAGTTAGATAAAAGTGAACTGTATGTATATTAAAAATATTGTCATTAATTGCTCAAAACTAATATATATTTCTTTGTATTTTTCTAAAAAAAAATTAGAAATTTGTTTTATTGTTTCAACTTATATTACACGTTATTGTGCGTATAATTAATTTAATTCAAGTTAAAAGAAATTTTTTTTTAAGCAATCAGGAAAATATAAAAATTCAAATTACGCATTTTTTTAGTCTCTACTGTATATGATAATCTATTTGTGTATCTGCTATATGTAAGTGCATAATTTGAAATTTTTAGTGCATTACGCAACTCCATTTATTATTTTGTCATTAATAAATAATATTATATAATAATTTTCATGTAATACCTTTAGTAGCATCATACATATTTAAATATGCGTTTGTCAACAAAACGCATAATTCAACACAAATAATTTTCTAAACACCAATTTATATATTTTGTTATATAGAGCGTTATAGAATTACAATTTAATAAAATAAAAAATATGTAAAAATAAAGCTTGTAAAAATAAATTATTGAATTGTACGACAATTTATGTAAAACTTTAGATGTAAACCTTTTATTATAAAAAGGTTTTTCTATATTATTATATTTCTCTTTCTTCTCTTTTTATTTCGAAAATGAATAAAATATAATTTTGAAGTTCTTATTATATTTCAATCAATTTGCTTTTCACTTCTTTACATTTAATTATTTAATATTAAAAAAGAAAGAATTTACAGCACAAAATTAGTTTACAACAATGCAGAAATTTATGCATAGGAATAAAATTATGTATAATAGTATTATGTATTATATATATATAAATGACAGTGCCAAAGTATTAGGTATTTCTATGAATATACATGCATCTAGTGTTTAATCGAAATCTATAATTAAAAACATGCTTTTGTAATATTAGCTTGATGAAAATTATGACATTAATCAATGTGCAAGCGGGGTGAAACTTTAAAGCTATGAAACTTTGAAGATTCTTGTTCCAAATCAACAATTCCGGAAACGTCTCTTCCATTAACAGAGTCAAAAGTTCGCGAGTAGCTATAAGGTAGCGTCGCACAAAACGGTTCGCGATTTTAGGATATTAACACCCCATTAAATGAGCTGTAACCACTGATTCTACGCTCTCCATCAATGCGCAATGCATCGATCCGTTCTCGTTGCGTCCGAAGAGAGTGCGCGATACCGAATTAATGATAATCGGCGTGCCAGTTGACTCGGAACGTCGTAAAAAGCGAAGTAGAATTCAATGCGTTGACCGGTCGATTAAGCTTCGCATATATATCGTATCAATTGCGGCAAGTTAACTCTATTCTCTGGTCAATGGAAATACCACTATAGTTAGTAAACGTATCCTCAATCATAGATTCGTATCTATCAACAATAGATACGTATCATTTGTTACGCCTACGATCTTTATATTTGTTTAGAATACATTTATCAATTATGTTATTAGGATTAACAACTTACTTACTTTCTAAAAATAATTATTATATCGTTACTTTTTATAAAAATAACGTTACTGTTACTTAAGAAGTATGGATTTGTTACTTTTTAATACCTATCAATCCTTACGAAGATGGTATAAACTTTAGACCTCTATTCTGTAACTCTCAACGATAGTTATCATTATATTGTAGTAACAGAAAAAGTAACTGAGTTACTTCTTAAGTAACGGTGATTTATTTTTTTGACTTGGTAAAGAGTAACTAATTACTTTTAGAAAGTAACTTTCTTAGGTTGTCTAGACAAACTAATAATTATACATAATATTAACACCGATAGCATTGCCAAATATTATGTTTGCACTGCCGCTTTATTATCAACATACTGTAGAAGTAGATTATGCGATCAAGCCGACAATATTTGTGAATATTTTCAACTCACGCTGGTCAATGTAGTGACTGTTTCAGCGTGGGCAGAGAAAATTCATAGAATAATACGCGTTAAACAGCCAGCGATACTTCGAACGATCCCGACCGATTGTGCAATTGGTGCAGTTTGATGTAAAACGACAAAATCACATCCATACGCATCCAAAATGCTGCAGAGGATCCACGTATATCAGCACCTCGCCATCGTTCGTGCACACGCAAATGCATTTGTTTAATATACAATACGTGAATGTAGTTTGTGTTTATTTAATATACAAATCGAACTCACATATTGGTCGCCAGTTCCGTTGCGGATTGCCGACTTATCCTGTTAACGGAGCAAATGGCGATTGCTAAAAATTATCGAGGCTTTTGAGCAATGCGATAAAATAAAAAAAGAGAAAAGAAAAAAATAACAAAATCACTAAAAAAGAGAAAATTACTTTAAAGTATAAAAACTCTTTAATAGTAAGAATCTAAAATATTATAAAATGTTATAAATCAAAAATATAAAATATTATATAATATTTTGTTCTTTATATTTATAAAAAACAAAATATCATTTATTATATTTATATATTTATATTTTACAATTCTACTTTCAATTTAATTTTGATTTTTATAAAGATTTTTTAATTGAGATATATAGCTCCTTTACTTAAATATATAAAAACATATAAATTTAATTTTCGTAATTATTACAATTGATTCCTTCCAGAAAAATGTTTATCTGTCATGATATAAATAATTCCAGTTTGAAATATATCATAAAAATTTTCAATAACAACGGATATAAAAATAAATTTTTTATTTTACACTATACTGACTATTATCAAAAATCAAGTAAATCTTTATATAAATAAATTGCATGCACATATAAAAATTTTGGAAAATTTTTATCTTACCTGGAAAAGATAAAAGGGTCGTTTTATAATCATCTGTCTCCGTGGAAGTTACTAAAGGTGTTGTCATAAATTCATAATAGGAAATATAAACCATAAACACCAGAAAAGATATAATTGTGCAATGTATAATAATCCACAAAATTCTGAAAAATATATTTAATTACATGGCAAGTGCAAAACTAACATTATTTGATTAAAAAGTAATTATTATACTTTATTCACTTATTTTATTTATCCTATTTGTTTATTTTACTTATTTAAACTTTTATTTATTTTATTTATATTTTTTTTATTTATATATTTAAAAGTTCAAAGGCAATAATATTAGAGACATAAAGCAAAAATATAGATTTACGTGTTGTAAGTCAAGCGATATAACATATCGAGCAACAATTTGTTCCCGTTCTTACCACGACACGCTCATTACCGAATTCGCACCGCACTATTAACGTCACAGTAACGGTACATTAAATCAACTGGCGACGCCATATCGCGACGTGACTCCAGCATTTTATGGAATTACATTTTTTTCCGTTTTCCTTTTTTCTCCTTTTTGCAAAGGATACCGCATTTGTTTCGTACCGCGAAACAGGATCGTGATTTGTGGATTACTTGATTTGTGCGGACCACTATAAATCCAAGAATCTCTACTCACTGTGGCACCGTTAATCTCACGAAAAATTAGTATACGCTAATTAAACTGTATAACTTTAATCATACATTCCGCTTATATATGCAAACTATAATGTATGCATCTGTAAAGTCTCATGTGCATAGCCTGCACAAATCGCTTTTATCATTGCTTTAATAAAGACCCGATAATCGTATTATGCGAGTTGACTTTTGAGCATGAGTTTATATTGTTAAATGAATGAGCAACATCTAAATAAATTCTGCTGAAGTAAAATTTCATTGTACTAAGATCTGAATATAGAACATTAGTGTTGCTCAGTATTTTAAAAATATAAAAATAAAATAAATAATAGTGATTTGATAAAGATCTCTTTTCAGAAAAGTATAAAAAGACACATTTAAAAACTTTTTAAATTTTTGAATATAAATTACTACTTTTTCCAAAATATGTTCATATAATATTATTTTAGAAATAATAATGTTTAATGTACAGAGATTTTATGTATCACTGAATCATAATTACACAACATTATATATATTAATTAAGCTTATGAACAATAACTTAAAAATATTGTTTCCAAAGTAACAAACTAACGTCATTTTGACAAAATAACGATTATGTCTGCTTACCGTGTATCTAGATTAATTCTTAAATATAATATTTCTTTTCTTTTTCTTCATCTATTTTGCATATTAATATGTTTAATTTATAATGCTAAATTAAATTTTATTGTTAACTGAAAAGAACTAAAAAAGCCATATTTGTTTTGAAAAAGCTAAACCTAAAGCAGCACGTCTTTTGTTATATTTATATTTATGTATTACGTATATTTAGAAATACCTATATAATCTTATATCCATTTGTGTTCATAATTATATTATAAATGAATATAATTGAGGTTACCTTTCAAACCAAGGTCTCTGAGAATCAACAAAGTATTTAAAACTGTTTATAGTGGAATATTCATAATACAATTTTAAATATTTTGATATAATCTTTAAGCCCGGTGATTTCTTCGAAACTTTTGTCATCCATTGCTTGATGAAAAAAGTATTGTTTTTAGATTTAATTTTATTTTTTTCAAACCACATTATCTACCTTCCGTAACCTTCTTTTAAATTGTATAACGTAGAAATTAGGTAATTCTAGCCTAGGTAATCCTACAATAAATAGTTATTTAAAATATTATATATTATAATAATGTAGTATAATAATGTGTATAATATTATGTAATATAATAAAAAATTAAAGTATCAGATAATATTTTGGTATATTGCAAATGTTTTGCAAAATTACAATTTTTAAGTTAAAAAATAAAATTCATGATAAAGACATATTTTTATCTAGCCATTCTTGATTAATAATTCCATTAACGTACTTACCTTATCATGTCAATTGACTTTTATTTTTAAAATAGGAATCGTAATAGAAGAGCTAAAAATATGTATAAGTAAAAAAAGATTTAATTCTTATAAATACGTTATGCAGTTTTGTAGATACGATATTTAATATCTTTATAATATTTTCCAATTTCAAATAATTATCAAACAACTATCAACGATCTAAATTTTGTAGATTAAAAGTAATCGTTAAAATATAATAATTAAAGATTTACAACAATTGAAATCTTGTGGATGATAGTATATATATATATACAGTTCACTAAGTTTCTCACTTTAATAACCGCAAACCGTGTGCAACCGATTACGCGGAACGAAAGAAAATGTTATAGCCGGGTATGCAATACAAAATGAAAACTCTCGTCCGTAACGCAATTACACGGATGTTACAGGCGGCAGGTAATATTCCGAGCAGTGCCGAGCACTCGCGCGACCATCTGGGATTACGACTGACGTCGTTTACATCGGGAGCCGTAAAACGCGTGTGCGATTCGTGCATGTGCTGGTCTGCGTTATGACAGAAGAGATCCAGCAAGATCAGATCGTATATCTGACATCGTTCAATTACTATTCCGCTACTTTGATATCGCGTTTGCGATCGCTTGCTACCGCAGGATATGAAATTGTACCGTTTGTCGCTTTCCTGGCAATATCGTGAATAGTTTATAAGTGCATGGTAGACATTGATATATCGCGCCATATAGCTTTTGTGATAAAAAGAAAAGGAAATTTTGTAAAAGATTAATTTACATGCTAAAAGTTTTAATAGCTCCTAGTAACATTTTGTTTTTTATTAGACTTTATACCAAGATAAAATTTATATTTCTTAAAGCTTATGCAGAATACTCATATTAATAAACATTAAATTAAAAAATTATTTTTAAAATTTTATGATATTTTATGCTGTTTTTATATTATTGTAATATATTTAT